CATAAGCGGGATATTATTAAGAAAAAGAGGATTGTAGTCATCCTAAGTAAAAAGTCCTGAAAGCTTACCGGTAGTGTTTTCTCTAGGAAACGCTATTCTTCGAAATAGTGTCCAACTTTCTTCGGGAGTTAGACAATTTGGTTTAAAGGTGAAACATGTTGGATCTGCATGTAATGCTACACCGTTGTTACGAGAAGTAAGTAGTACCTTCCAACCTACAAAAAATATACCTCTTTTACATAACTCCCTAACCAAAAAGGCGCTTAATGCGTTATGACCAATATGTGTGGAATGTATAGTGCAATGTATAGGCGATATAACGTATGTACCAAAAGATGTTACCTTTTTCCCGTGGAAACATTGGTTTGATTATGTCCCAATCTCCTTCTCTCCATATATCATCAAGGACTATCAAAGACTTCTGTGTTTCCAATACTCGAACAAGATTCTCTTGAAGCTCGTCTTCTGTCATCTCTAACACCTGATTTTGCCTAAGCTTCCGCAAGATTGTCTGCCAGACATACTTCCTTGTAAATTGTTGTGAAACACATACCCAAGCGAGTCCTGTAAAATGACTTTTTACGGTCTCATGATTAAAAACTTGTCTTGCGAGGGTTGTTTTACCAATACCACCCATCCCGGTTATAGAAACCACTTGACTTCTATCTTCCTCCACCAAATAACCAACCAATTGCTCAACATTCTTCTCCAACCCCACGAGATGGTCTTCATAATCGCTAGAAAATGTTTGTCGCATAACCCTTTGTCTTTCTTGTAGAGACTGCGTATCATTTTCATTGACAATGAACTGTTGTACGCCAAGAATCTGCATATCGCGAATCACTTTAGCAATCCTCTTACTTAGAGCTTCCATATCAAAAGCAAGTCCCCTACGATCAGCAATAACACAAGCAAGTTGTCTTATACGTTTCTTGATGCCACTTGTTTTGCCGAGTTCTTGCTTTAGAAGAAAGGTTTCGATGATATCTTCAGCATCGTAAACAATTTCTTTGATCTCTTTCACAGTGTTTTTCACCATTGCACTTGTATGTTTCTTGGCATCTGCATCTTTCAAAAAGCCCCTTAATGTCTCTAGTTCACTTTTTAATCCATTAAGCTGCTCTTCAACTCCCTGAAACCGCTCAGATTCTCGGAAAATGAGGTCCCAAAGCTTCTCGAATCCAAACGACAAAAGTGTCTCCGCCATAAATTTCCTGTCAGCAATAAAAAGCCTAAAGGAGTCTTTTAAAGGTTCAAAATGGAGATCTTTTCTCAGCTACTAAGTCACTACTACTAAGCCTCCATCAAAATCGTTAGAACAAAACAAATACTCAAGAACACCAAGGCGACCAAAAGAAGCCTTTAAGGAATTTTCCGAAGAAGAAAGAATGAAGTCAAGGAAAAAAAAAGTCAAATTGCCAACAAAATTTCAACTCCTGAACAAAACCAAATACTGAAGAGTCAAGATCACAAAGACAGACCAAGAAGACTCGGTACTCACCTCTCTAAGGCACCAAGGAGCTCACTCGTCTTCCCCCTTATGATTGAATCTTGTTTGGAAACTCGTGTAAATTGCTCGCCCAGAACAAGAAAAGAAGAACTTGAGCAGGGCCCAGAAACTTGAAGGCCCAAAATTGAGCAAGGTCAGAAACTTGAAGGCCCAAAATTGAGCATGGCCCATGTTATAAACTTCTTTCGCATTTCTAAATCAGAATTTAAAAGGACTAGACTAATACCCGCACAACGGGTTTTTTTTATCCATAATTTGTTAGTTATAACAATTTACATCGATTGAGTTAATTTGATAAATTATGTTTTTTATGTTTTTTTAATACCTAATAGTTTGATGTATTCCTCTAACTCTCTAGTAAATAATTCATTCTATTTTTTTTTAATTTATATATTTTTTTTTTTTGACGTCTAGATTTATTATTTATTGCAAATTATGAGAACTATTACATAGACGATTCTACAACGGACAATTCCTTCCGACCCTTATTAAATTCACGACAGACGACACTTCCTTCTCCATGCTCTTGACGGACACCTTCAATGATCCACGACCTGACGACACTTCTCTCTCTGCGTAGAATCCTGGCGAACGGCTATAATTGTACTTCGCTGGAGATCTCATGCACACTTGCCTCCTTTAATCTGCAAATTTATTAATAAATCGCAATATCTGAGACTCGAACCCCAGACCTCTTGGTGTAGAAGCATTAATTAACCCTTGATCAACCAATGGGCCAAAGGGGCTTCCACTTTTAATTTATGTTTAGATATATTGTTTAACACTTATTTAAAATTACTTACCTTAAAAACAAAAATATATATATACTTTGTTATCTTGAAAGTAATTTTAAATAAACGAAAAAGTAGTGTTGATTTAGTATCTTATATTTGCCTTAAAATAAACTATAAATTCAACTAATATTCATTTTGTCACTAATCCTATATATATTATAGTATATGAAAACATGAAACAAATTCTAATATCATATTATTTAATTTTTATACGTTATTAAAATCTAAAATTTAGTTAAAATTCCATTGATTTTATGTTTATGCATAAGTTTATACATTTTATACAGCTAAATTTAAACATTTTAATTTATATATAAGTTTGATATGCTTTTGTAATTAATCAAATTGAAATTACTTAATTAATAAGTTAAAATATGTCAATTTTCATATAAGCAAAAATTAATGCATAATTTAAATTCTTAATTAGATTAAATTAAATAATAAATGTAATATGTTGATGTGACACATGGCACTCTCTCTATTATTGACGTGGCGGAAGGATGAAGAGAGTTGACCAACTTTCATATATATGATTTCCATATGTTTCTATTCTAGCATGGTGGAAAACAACCTTCACCGTTCTTAATTGATTTCTTCTTTCTTTTTTGTCATAGATCTTCTTTAATAATTCCAAAATGTGTTATTTCCAACTGATTTATTTTTAATGAAATTTAATTTAAAAAGTGAATAAAATTTTGAATACAGTTTATTTTTGAGGCAAATACCCTTTATTTAGCATATAGAGTTTATTTTATTAAATGTGTGAGTAAAGCATATAAACCCAAAGACACCTATATCCCCAAAACCTGAAATACCTAGGCATAATGTAAATTGAAAATTTCTATTTCTAGATACATTGCATCGTAATATAATTGATACAATACAGAGAAGTATAACCCTCTTCGTGGATGAATCGCAGCGACCGCGACCGGTGATCAAGAAAATATATTTACTTCTCCTTCAAATTTTTATGTATATCTCTTTTCTTCTTGTCACAGCGACTTGAATCTCATGATTTCCGAGCCTCCCGAATTAATAGTAACACCATCAGTGAGATATCTCACAAAACTTTAAACTTCAACTTACATATAAACACTTGCATTAAATAGATTTTTTCGGTGGTCTCAAGATTTAGGAGCAACGGATTGAGCTCTAACCTCAAATTTTTCTATAAACTTTGCGACTCTATCGATCTCCGGCACCACATTCTTCACCATTTCATCTGACAAAAACCGGTTGGCCCATCTATATAGAGAAGGAGTTTTTAATTCGTCTAAAATCTTTTCTTTTTTAAGCTTTTCTCTAGCTTTAAAGAAAACCAAAAAGCTTCCAAGACAAATGTCCATGAACCCAATTGTTTCACCGCCGAAAAAAGATCTCCCTTTGCTTAGAGCAATAAACGCATCCTCGAGTTGCAACCACCCTTCTTCCACTTCTTCAATGCCTTTCGCTTTTGCGTCTTCCGATTTAGTACCAACCGTTGCCATCAAAGCCGGAAACCACTGCATTCTTGAAATGAGAAATTAGCGAAAATAGTGTGATACAAATTTGTTTTAAATCTTAAACAATATTATGCTTAATGGTTTTCTTCTTAATAAAATCATCATAATGATCAAGTTTTAACTCATTGAAAATATTTCGGACCAATTTCAATCATCCATCAAATTATTTAGAGTGGTAAATAAATAGTTCAGTTTTTGTTGCAACAAGAAAAAAAGGATTAGATCTCAATTATTTTAAGCCGAATTGTTCACACTTCATATTGCATGGTCCACTTAATTTCAAGTTTTCAACAATCTAGATATGCATAATTTAAACAGTAAGTTTTTGTCACTCAAAAAGGAAGATATGATTAGTATTTCGGTAATCGCATCAAATACTGATCACGCATTACAAATTCTAGACAAATAGAACCCCAAAAAAAGAAGAAGTTAAATTTGATGGACTTCAGAAAAAGACACCAAAAACTGACCTTGTCATCAACGAAGGCAGACCAGAAGCGAGCAAGAGCCCGATCGTGAGGATGGGAAGGAAGAATGGACGGTCCAGATGAGCTCCACGTCTCATCGATGTATTCGACGATGTTAAGAGACTCGCAAACCGGTTTACTGTTGTGGATGAGAACCGGGACTTTCTTGTAAACCGGGTTCGATTTGAGAAGAAGCTCACTCTTTGATCCGAACAAATCTTCTTCAACGTAATCATAATCAACCGATTTGAGACGAAGAGCTATCTTTGCTCTTAACACGACCGGACTGTACCATGTTCCCAACAGTTTCACTTCCTCTTCCTCTCCCATCTTTGTTTTGTCTAAATTATTTTTAGTTTAGGTCAGTAATTAATCGTTTAAATAGACCAAGAAAGAAGCAGATATTAGTGGTGAGGTCAGTTTTGTGTTCCTCCACGGCTCTTTTCTTCTTCTTTTGTCTGCTTCTTAGTGAGATATTAATTGGCGAAAACAACAACATCAATATGACTTTTCTAAAATTTGACGATTCAACCCGTTGATCATTAATGATATATACACATCTTTATTCATTTTCTTGGGATAATGAATAAAGATGTGTATATATACAATTTCCGTTTCTTATAGATAATTTATGTTTGATTCGTTGGCCTCTGAAATTTTTATAATCCAAAGTAAATTTTTCCTAATAAAACTGATAGAAAAGAGGTTGACATTATATTGCAAAAGACATCATTTCGACATTATATTGCAAAAACAGACCAATAGACAAACCCCAAAAAGTAAAAACAGAACCAAAAGAAACAGGACACTAGTCTCTACATATGATCTTTCTAGTTTCTACACATCATCTTCATCTCCAAGCTTGTAGGAACTGAAATGTTCGACCTTGAAAGTCCACTCGCCATTCACAGTATCATAAGACACAAACTGAGCTCCTTGTTCCTCAGCTTTCCTCTTCAGCATTTCCTTGTACTTGTCCAATCTCTCGCCTTCCTTCACTTGCGTACCAGTCTTCTTGTCCATACATTTTATGTTCAGCAAAGTTACTACCGCTGGCTTATTCAATCCTTGACCCACTGGCGGTTTTTTGCTCTCGTCCATGTATACATTCACTTCTCGGTTTTTGAACTGAACCACCATTTCCAGGTCGAGTCTATATACATCCGTCTCTCCTAGAAACTTTATACTCCCATAACCATGTCTCCCAACAACAAAGTCCTTTACCCGCTTGCAATAACCCGGTTCAACCCTTTCTTTTGCAGCCAGTTCTTGGATCCGAGGCTCTGTGAAATATTCAGAGTGATGCAACTTCGGCATCAATGACTGGATATCTGCTCCACTTGGTGAACTGTGTGAACCTTCTTTGTTGCCTCCGTGATTTTCATGTGTCCCATTTGTTTTCTGATTGGCTTTGGCCGGGGTAGCTTCACGAATTTCATTTTCATGTGTCCCCTTTGTTTTCTGATTGGCTTTGGCCAGGGTAGCTTCACGAATTTCACCGTTATCCTTATCTGCAAATATTAACAGTAGAGTCAGTGAATGGATGGCCTCACTAATGCACAAACGTTAATCACTATTTTGTTACATATGCATATTTTAAATACTCACTCTCATGGTTGGCTCCATTAGTAACCCCATTCGACTTCTTACCTGAAATTCACATGTAAAATAAGGTCAGATATGATCAAATTTAGCCACTATATTAATATGCAAGCACGTCATTTCTCGAGTCCCAAGTATCCTTAGAAAGTTCAGCTATAGAGGTAGCATCAAATAAGATGTTCTAAGTGGAAACTTTTCACTTCTTATCTAAGAGAAACTATTGGAGCCATGTCTAGAAAAAAAAGGGGCTATTGTGACAACAGAAAGCCTCTTTTTGCAATTGAACGAAGGCTTCAATCTTGCAAAATAAGCCAATAAAAAGGTAAGCTTACCGTTCTCCTGCAGTGGGGTCGGGCTATCCTTTGGACGTTCTGATTTTACCCTTTCAACTGGGCGTATAAATAGAGCTCTAGGGTTTTCCCTTGGAATGAAAAACGCATCAGCCTTTGGTGTACTGGAATTCTCCTCTTCATCGCTGAAGAATGGAACCTGAACAAACATTGAAAAAACAAACAGGTAGAAAAAACCTCAGTAACAAAACTAAAGACAGATATATTCAAGACAAAGCCAAAATTCAGAAAACATGCCTTTGGACCATCATCACCAGGACGGTACTTTCTTGTAGGTAGCCTGACCCGTCTTTGTAAAAGGTGTCGAGAAGTTAGGAGCGGTGATACTCTAACTGGAGCAGGCTTATCAACGACCTATGAAGAAAGGAAAATATACGGGTTAATAACATGGAGCAGTCATTTGTTTCTGTAACATTGTATCTATGAGAACTTGAGAAGAGATGTATTTTATTTGCTTCAAATTTGGAAAGAAGTTATAAAGAAAAAAAGGTGGTGTGTGGGTGTTGAAAAAGGCAGAAAAAACTTACAGGCATGCTGGAGATACCATACTGAATCGAAGGTGAATTTCCACCTTGAGCAATTGAAATCTGAGGCAAAGCAGGAAGTGTTCCAAATGGGTTTGTAACAGGAGTTGGTTGCATAACAGCAGAGTTACCCATCGCAGGCCTGTCAAAGCAAAAAAAAAAAAAAGAATGAAGCTTTAGAGATGCAACTTCCTAAGTACAATAAAACTACTGGGTTAATAAATTATCTAAAAGAAGAAATAAGAGTTGAAACACTGATGTCAGAAAGACCATACACTTGCTTAAAGTTGCCTTGGCTAAAAGTTCCCATTCCACCTGCAATGTCAGTGGTATTAGCTTCAGAACATAAACATAAAAGACTTAGCTTCTAGTATTCAAGACGATAATATTCAGGGTGCTTTGATTGATTGACATACCTATTTGGGTTTGACCAAAGTTGTTGAAACCAAAAGCACCTAATGGTTGAGTTGGCTGAGCTGATTGAAAGGGTGTAACAGCAGGCTGCAAAAATAAACTAATATTAGAAATCCCTACATAACTCAAACGGCAGTGAAAGAGACATCAACTCTGAAGTGAACTGGCATTTAAATTAGTTAAAAAGAAACTCACTGTTGTTTGACCAAAGGGAGAGATGCTTGTAGTTAGGGATGCAGAGCTTGAAAACATATTCGCAGAGCCAGTGAAAGGTGTACTTTGAAAGTTACTCTGTCCAAGTGCAGGACTACTCTGTCCTAATGCAGGAGTGGTATTCTGTGCAAACAAAGAACTAGTCTGGCTGAATGCAGGAGTGGTATTCTGTGCATATGAGGGGTTTGAACCAAACAGCGGAGATGACTGACTGTTGTTAAAATTTCCACCATTGCTAAATGTTGGAGTTGACCCATGTGCAGGAGCTGAACCAAAGATTGATGAACCAACTGGCTGTGATGTGTTTGTTGCAAAACTAGGGGATGATCCAAAAACGGATGTAGTATTTGATACAGTTGACCCAAACATGGATGGGGTAGTGGGTTGACCAAAGGATGGGGTAGTGGGATGGCCAAAGGAAGGGGGAAAAATTGTGTTAGTTGTTGGAGTCGTCTGTGCAAAACAGTTTGTGGCTATTGAGCTTGAAAAAGGGTTTGCTGGATTTGCAGGTGTCTGGCTAAAAGCTGATGACGGAGAGAATATAGGCTGAGAATTTGTTACACCAAATCCAGCACCTCCAAGAGATTGACCAGCAGGACGTTGTCCACCTGAAAATTGAACAACAAGAGAATCAATATTTTGGTAAATAAAGTACAAACATCTAACCTTAAGACAAACGCATAACATGGATTTGTTTGGCATATGACCTTTATCTCCTCGCTGGTAGTCCTCCCACCTAAGCTCCTCCTGGTTTTTTTCTTTGTATGCAGGCATGGCAGATATAGATTGTAGTCTCTCAGTCTGGTTACTAGTGCCCGATGCTGGCTCAGTTGTAGGTGCAAAAGGCACGACCCTACTCCCCCCTTGTTGACCCCCGATAGTTGATTGACCCCCAAATGTTGGGGTCGAGGCCTGTGCACCTGCAAAACAAAACATGTGAACATAATTAGTTACCATTTAATGGGTGGGAACTTTCACTTCTAATTTGTAATTGAATAGGACTAGCTAGAGAACCTTGGGCTCCAAAGGTAGATTGTGTAGAACCAAAGGAACTGCTACCAAATGCTGAGGTAGACTGTCCAAAAGCTGGGGAAGAACCGAAATTAAAAGATGGGGTACTTGATGCCCCAAAGGCAGGAGTGTTAGATGCCCCAAAGGCAGGAGTGTTAGATGCCCCAAACGCAGGAGTGCTTGATGCCCCAAAGGCAGGAGTGTTAGATGCCCCAAACGCAGGAGTGCTTGATGCACCAAAAGCACCTCCAGAACTGAAGGCATTGTTACCAAATGCACTGCCAGAGCTACCAAAGGCTGGAGCAGGTGACGCGCCAAATGCAGGTGAGCTCGAGGAGCCGAATGAAGGAGTAGTTGCAGCACCAAAAGCAGGTGTGTTATTGGAGCCAAAGGCAGACGTGCTTGATGCGCCAAACCCAGGTGTGCTAGTGGCACCAAATCCGGGTGTGCTTGTGGCACCAAACCCAGGTGTGCTTGTGGCTCCAAACGCGGAAGTGTTTGAGGCGCCAAATGCGGAAGTGTTTGACGCACCAAAGGCAGGCGTGCTAGAGGCACCAAAAGGTGTAGATGAACCAAAAGTGCTGTTGCTAAAGGCAGGCTGTGACTGCTGTGTGGTGCTTCCGAAAGGACTTGACTGAGGCGTTGAGAGGCCAAAAGACTTCTGACCAAACGTAGAAGTGCCTGTAAGAAAAGATTTATCAGTCTTCGTTAGAAAGAGATATATCAAAAGACTAATGAGAACCTGTAGCCTAAGAAAACAAACAAACTAGACCAAATCAGGAGCTAGTACTTTCATGAAGAAAACGAAAAACACTACTAATTTTGGAAGTAGTAACAAATCTTTTGAACACCAGAAAACTTGGATATCGCTACCCTGAAACTAACAGGTAATCAAACGCTTGAAGAAATCAGAAACCAGTAGCAAAAGTGTATTTTTACAATCTAAGTCCTACTGAGAGAAAGTAAATCCTATTCCATCAGGCTTATCAATGTATCTATCACATAATATGAACACATATAGTTTATTCCAGGCCTGGTATAGTTTATGCAGTAAAATACATAAAAGGTACTTACCACCAAAAGGTGACGTTGAACTACCAAATGCAGGAGCAGAAGATGCTCCAAAAGCCGGAGTAGAGCTCCCAAACGCTTGTGGTGAAGCACCAAAAGGTGAAGAAGTTTGAGGTGCACCAAACACACCGGTTGAAGTGCCCCCAAACATAGAACTCCCTGTCTGTGCGCCAAAAGGAGTAGAAGTACCAAAGGGTTTCGGAGCAAAAGGATTATTACTACCGTTATTGGTCTGCCCGAACAAAGATTGAGTTTGGGTCCCAAATGGACTGCTGTTAGATGACTGTCCAAAAGCTGTAAAACATAATAAACAGGTCATGTTAGCATTGCAAAAGCTACAAATATCCAAATTTGATTAAGAAACAAAGGAAAGATCCGTGCAAATTAAACAGGCCACTACAAAACCATAAATAATAAGGTAAAGGATCACTTACGATTAGAAGAACCAAACATCTTCGTCTTTATATTCACGACTCTGACCTCAGCCAAAGGAATTGTTTCTTCTAGCCTGGTACAACAAAAAAAGAAAAGAAAACATGAACATTAGCAAACACTATAATGGAAGTTATCAAGTTCCAAATCATGAACGTGATACAAACTAATGAGAAGAAACAGCTAATCAGAACCCAAAAACGAACCAATTTACACGAATTAACAACACAATTACTCGTAAATAGGATCAACATTGAACAAGGCAACATCACAAATCGTGTAATTCATAACTAGGAATCATCAAATTCGAAAACAGAGTACGAAAAATCAAAACCAACACTATTCGATAACATAAACTTCAACAAATAGTATCTATGAATCCGATGGAAATCAATCTAATTAACCTAAAACTACGTCTCACGAATGTCACACAAGATAGAGAAACGGAAATTCCCGTACACGTTCGTCCGAAGTCGGAAAAATTAGGGTTCAGGCGTGAAGAAACCGCGAAACTGTTAACGAAAACGATTGTCGTTCGTCGTAGACTCAGAGAGAGGAATTGAGGAATGTAACCTGAAGGCTGAAGCACGATGTGGAGACGACAGAGACGACGGAGAAGGAGGAGAAAGAAGCAGAGACCTCGCCGGAATCAAAAAGCCTAAAAGTTTTTTTTTTACGTACAATGAAAAGTGGAGGAGGAGGCTGAGTATATAAACAAGGAGTTTCTGCGTTGTATTCAAGTCAGTGTAGCGTCTCTCCGACGCTCGGTTTGTTAACCGGGATTGATTTGGCCGGTTCGAACGACCCGCGTTGTATTCAAGTTAATTTAGCGTCTTTCAAACGCTCGGTTTGTGAACCGGGATTGATTGGACCGACTCGAATTATGGTTCATTTCCTCCCGGTTCGCCCGCGTGAATTTATTTTTGTTCGGTTTCTTTAATTGTTTACTGTTTTTTACTTTTTTACTTTTCTTTTTCCAATTTTATTCTTTTTTTGCCTCAACTTTTTTATCCTTTATTAGTAGATGATTTTTGGGGTCAACTTTTATCCTTTTCGATTAAATACGACATTTATTTTATTTCTCTAAAATAAATAAATAAGTAGAAATTTAATGCGATAAAGTATATGAAATATGAGATAAAATAAAATAAAGAAACGTAATTTATAAAAATTATAATATTTACAAAAAGAGTAATATTAAAACTATATTAAATTTAAAAATTGTTAATTTAAATTTCTGAAATTTAATTTCACTTCTGTTAAAAATATATAATTTAAGCATGTATGTTAGTCTTCTAACATGTAGGCTTAGAGAGACAGGTTTGGACATTACTTTTTCGCTTGCGTTCCTAAAAGACTGGTCTGTTGCGGTCCAAAAACAAATAGTGACCATTGCGGGGTGGCCCAAATAGATATAGGCCGACCCATTTGACACCGGAAGAACACAAGCATGCTAAAAAGTCAAAAAAAAAAATATGGTATATAATAGCACAAAAAATAAGTTTTGAAAAACTTATGAAAGATCGGCGGAATATGGTAAAATCTTTGGAAAACTAATCCCAAAAGAATGAGACTGAATCCAAAACTAGTTAGGGAGGCAAAAATCCACAAATAGAAAAGCCAAAACCAAAGAAACTACAACTTATAAAGAGACAACAGAAACTTAGTGACGAAGAAGTTCACTACGCTCAACGAAGCCTAAACAAGAAAAAAGAGTGAACTAGAGTCGAGGGTCCGAAACTCAAATGCCTTATTCATTATTCTTCTAGTAGAGAGGAATCATATGAAAACCCTTCGCATTGCTCCTCCCTAGAGCCCCGGTCAAGATCATTGCTCTACGATCCCCTAAAAACCGGTAAAAGAAAATTGAAACTTATACCGCTTTTAAATGTATGGTATGTTTAGTATTTTTACCAATACATCATCAAATATCAGAAAACAGTTTTCCAAATACATCACTAAATTCTACTGTTGTGTGTGATTTCACATTCAATTATGATATTTCTGATGAGCACTAGTCGAAATATTGGTCACTGTACAGAGTCGTAAGCAATCTCCGAGGTATGATCATGTTTCGGAATGATGTATTTTTATATACTCATGCTTCCATTATTGAGTTCTTCTTCTTCAAACCGAAAAAATCTCTTAGATTTTGTGTTCTTGAGGAACAAAAGAAAAGAAGATAAACAACAACAACAAAAAAAGGTCATATCTTTTGTTTATTATCATATGACTTCTTGACTAAGAGCTAACTGGTGATAATTCATGTAATCAATCCCGTTTAACCGGACACAACACAGAATCTGCTCCGGTAATTCCTCTGGTTTATTCCCCTGAAAATGACATTATACAGTTGATAACCACATCAATTTGACCCCAAAGTTCATCAACGAAGCAACAAATTGTAATACATTACCTGAATTGTGAGTCCAACATCAAGAACACAGTGCTTGAGCCTGTCTAAAAATGCTTCGAATCCTTTACGTGATATGTAACTGAATCTATGCATATCGATATCAATCTCAAAGTAATTTTCACCCTACAAGTTCAAAATTCAAAGTTAAGTTCAAGTTTCAATAGGATTTGCATTTCTTATGATACTTGTGACATACCGAGTAGAACTCGTGCTGTGGACGTGAAAGCACAGGTTTTTCGTTATAAGCATTCATGAGTTTTTTCTCTGCACCATTCAATTGAAGATCGTCTACATTCGCAACACGACCCAATATCTTTAAACGTTCTCTAAAGGGTACATTTGTATCCGTAGTGAAGCCTCTAACTTTCTCAACCTCATCATCTAGTAATCTCTAGCATATTTCCAAAGACAAAGCGATTTAAAAATGCGTATTCAACGGAAGAGCACAGAGCAAAAAAACAGAATCACGAGGTGGAAGATTAAACTACCTGAATGCTTTCTTGAAAATGAGGTGGAAGCTCCTTTAAATAATTATCCGAAAGTTTAAAGTATAAAACAAAATTCATTCCTTCTCCATCAGTTTCACCTTGAAAAATTGCAGCTGGATACAATGGAATCTATGATTCCAATAGCAACATGATCATTAAACAAAAACACCGGTGACAATGCAAAAGAATAACGATTTAGCCATGGAATCAGACAATATACCTGAACATTTACAACAAGGATTGATGGGAGCTTGGTCGGGGTGGTGGTAACAATAGGAAGCTCCACGTATTGCGCTATATGGTTTACTTTACGTTGAGATAAAAATACATCGACACCAAATGGATTATATGCAGCATAGTTTGGTGCAAACTCTTTCTTCTTTTCTCTACCAAGAAAACGAAATATCAGTTAAAGTTAGTAACATAACATACAATCAGGTATTTGAAACAACAAGCTCTCTCCGTTTGTTTACCTGAAATAAGTTTTGCTACGAACCCGGAAACTACCTGGCTCAATAATTGACCAAGAATCAAACATTTGCTTTTCGAGGGGACAAAACGGAACCTGAGAACCTGCCATCGGTCTCTGCAACTGCATTTTTGTAGAAACTGAAACATTGTAGAGAACAAAGTGAGTTCTTGGATTGAAATCCCTTCAGTTCAAATGCATTGGAACCACAATTGAAACTTACATAAAGGACCGGTAGCATGCCCTTCTCTCCACTTGAAAGATAGTTTAAGCGCAGCTTTTTTCCTCGTACTCGGAGGGCTAGAGCTTAAAGACCTTCTCTTTTCAATAGAAGGAACAGTTGAATTAAGACAAGGCAAACAATTGCTCGGAAGAATCCCGCAGTTTTCCAACAATCCTTCATCTTTTCTAGAGCTATCACCAGCATTTGAAGATATCTCGTCAATAAAAACAGGCTGCTTAGCGTCAATCAAAGCACTCTCTGATTTTGATTGTGAAATGACATCATCTACGGTTGAGTGAGAGTTGGAAGTTTTGAGACCATCGCTTAGAGAATTCCGAGCGGAACCACCAAGGTTAGAGTCTCTAACAGATGACATACTCGATACTGAGATACGCTCACCTCCGTTTACTGACAAAATATCTGAAACAAAACCCGTAAACGATGAAACAAAAGCGATATATTAATCCTAAGATGAATCAAAAGAATGTATAAAACAGCTTTTGCTTGTACCTTCCTGAACACTGTGAAAATCATCATCACAATCGGTTTCAAAGGCGAGATTGGAATCAAACCATGCTTCATCAACACTTGCTGTTTAATAAAAACAGTAAGACGGAGTCAGGTGAATATTGAAAACTCTAATAAGAGACTGAAGCATTCAGCTAAAGTGACACAAGTTTGAGTGTCAAATAAACAACATTTTCATGTTGTAACTTAGTTTGATCCTCACAATTCCATGCTCATCAAAGATTAACCATATAGAGAAAGATTCACTCTTTTGAGTAATAACCCCACAAATCTAACATAAATCACAAAACTTTTAGCTAATCTAACAACACTCTAACCACAATCTGACAATCTAATCCCCAATTACACAAACTAACACATTAAACAATCAAAAGGCCTAACATTTCGAATTCAATCAATCAAAAGCTTCAACAAACCTTCGAGATACACAAGAAAGACAATAACCCACGAAGCCAAATTGATCAAAAACACAGAGCAAATCAATAGAGAAATGCAGAGAGAAACAAAAGATGGGTTTTTGAGATTAGAGAAAGAGACCTCTGAAAGTGGGATTAGAGAAAGAACGATCGTGATTATTATCGAAAGATCCGTCAGATAAGCGAGAAGAAGAAACAACTCTCTTCTTCTGAATCTTTCGTCTTGTCCGAGTCTTTCTCCTTTTGCTTGACCTTATTTTACCTCCTACACAGCTCTTAGGCGTTGACACGCAACCTCCCATCTCTCTCTCTCTCTTCTCTCTCTGATCACAAATTCAACATATAAGATCTCTTTCTAAACCCAGAACTTTTAGAGATAGAGAGAGAGAGAAAGCTGTCTCCTTTATCTCTTTCTCTTAAAAACCCAGAACTTGTAGAGAGAGAAAGTTGTTTCCTTTTTCTTCTCTCTTCTTCTTCTGATCAGAAATCAGATAGAATCTGCCAGACACGATCTTCAAATCCAGTAATGGGAAAATTCAGAGAGAAATATGGTAAATGAGACACAGACAACTAGACAAATAATTTGGTGAAGAAGAAGCTTTTTTTTTTTTTCTTTACTTCGAAAACAAAAAGCAATTAAACAATAAAAAGTAATTTTTTGATTGGTTAAATATTTTTTGGGATTTGTGAAGTCAATTGAGAAAATTGGGGAATTTTTATGAAATGACAAGTTGTTAAATTTCAATAGTTATCGCATATACGGTGAGTTAACGGCATCTTCCAAAAGCAATTATGGTCACTTAATTTTAGATTTAGGATTGAAGTAACAACACATTTGGATTTATCTTATTTAACGTTTTGTACTAATCTGTGTAATTAGTAATTTACGTACTATATGCTTATTTGAGGGGTTTTTCTTAATAATGTAACACTTTAATTTATGTGATGGAGAATGAGATTTGTGTAGATTAGGATGGCAAATAGCACTATATTTTTCGTTTATGATTCTCTGTATTTAAAGACATATCGTTCTGGGGTCAACTATACAATAAACAAATATTTAGGATCATTAAAATACGACGTTGTAGTTTTATAGTTTCTTTGTTTTAGTTTAATGTTATATAAAAGATATTAATTTTTCATATAACCTTTAACAAAAAAACTATATATAATTTCCTCATAAAATACATCATTATCTTTTAAGTGTACAATTATATGTAAGTGGATGTGGATGTTGAACTTGAACCAAGACATAGCTTAGAAAATGGGTGAAGGTGAGTTACTAAACAATTTAATCAACTACAAATAAAATATTTATTAGATAATTATATATCTAAGAAAATAACATAAATTAATGCATCGATCATCTAAGATATATATAATTTGTACTAACAAAAAAAAACAAGTGATGGTACTCAGGGGAAACGGCCGAGAGTGGAGAGACTAATAGGCTGGGTAGCTCCAGCGGTTGGTTGGCTTAGAATAAACACTGATGGGGCGTCTCACGGTAACCCGGGGCTGGCCACCGCAGGGGGAGTGCTTCGGGATAGCGAAGGTAATTGGTGTGGAGGTTTTGCCTTGAATATAGGAAGATGTTCAGCACCAATGGCGGAGTTGTGGGGGGGGGGGGGGGGGGGGGGGGGGGGGGGGGGGGGGGGGGGGGGGGGGGGGGGGGGGGAGGGGGGGGGGGGGGGGGGGGGGGGGGGGGGGGGGGGGTGTATTACGGGCTCTACTTAGCTTGGGAGAGGAGAGTACAACAGGTGGAATTGGAAGTGGATTCGGAGATTGTGGTGGAGTTTTTGAGGATAGGGATATCTGATCATCATTCGCTGTCGTTCCTGGGGACGCTTGTGTCATGGCTTTACGTCGAAGGACTGGAGAGTCCGAATTGTTCACGTGTATAGGGAAGCTACCGTCTTGCGGACGGGTTAGTTAACTATGCGTTTTCTTTACCGCTTGGTTTCATTTTTTTAGTAATGTCCCGCTTGTTGTTGATTCTATTTGGAGAGAGGATAACCTTAGGTCGGTTTGGCCAAGACGAGTCCCCGTACACTAGTGTTTATTTTATTTTTTTAGTTTTTGAATAAATCACGGGAGATGGAGTCTCCCGTCACTTACCAAAAAAAAAAAAAAAAAAACAAGTATAATTGTGAAGAGATAAGCATTATACACAAGTTATATCTAGACTCAAGAAGCAAAAGATTGACTTCGACTAAAACATGCGTCAAAAAGTTTCTTCAAACGTTTATGTGGTGCATATATTATCTTTTGACTTCTTGGTTCCAAAAGTAAAACCTTAAAAAGTCATATTTCTATATGTACTTTATAAAGAAACTTTAGGTAACAAAAAGTATTGTCATGTATAATTTTCTCGTATATTGTACTATTTGTTTATTTCATTTGTTAGGCAAAGTATGGCCATCTAAATTACACGCGTCAAATTCTTACCGGCTTCTGTCATTGTTTTCACACGTAGACTTGTTGTCTTGTCCTTTTTATTAAACTATACAAATGGACAATATATCTTGATAATTAGATTGCTTGTGATTTTTGACAAAAAAAAATCATAAAACAAAAAAAAAGATGTGTTTGTGATTAATAAGCAATCGGCTAAATACGTCCAAAAAAATAAAAATCTTGTTACGGGAAATTATCAAATGGCATGTTCGTAGGAGCAAACTAATTTGTGAAGTCAATGAAAAAAAAAAAAACTTATTACGTGAACGTATAATATGCAAACTAATTTTACTGGTTAAATATATTTATTCTACACTGATATTATCGATATGTCTTTAAATACAGAGAATCATGAAGGAAAAATATAGTGTTATTTGCAGTGTTCTAAAAAGCGGTCTAGGCGGTCGCCTAGGCCCCGACTAGGCGCTACGCTCTCATGCGACGCCTAGATAACCGCCTTGACCGCCTAAAATTACATAGATCTTGTTTAATGTATTTTTTTCAGTTTCAATTAGAATTTTAAATATATATATAGTTATAAATATTCTTATATTGTTTAATATAAATATAAATAAATGTTTTATCTAGTTTTTGTTTATAATTTCATAATTTTTAGTTTTATATAAATATTTTATATAACTTTTATATATAATATCATATTTATAATGTTTTGTGTTATAAACGTCTAAACCGCCTAAAAAATCGCGTATGCCCCGATTAAGCGTTCTAGGCGCTAGGCACTGGGTCACCGCCCGCTTAGCGCCTAATCTACACAAATCTCATTCTCCATCACATAAATTAAAGTGTTACATTATTAAGAAAACCCCCAAATAAGCATCTTGTACGTAATTTAATTTACTAATAACAGATTAGTACAAAACGTTAAATAAGATAAAACAAATGTGTTGTTGCTTCAATCGTAAATCCAAAATAGGTGACCGTAATTGCTTTTGGAAGATCCTGTCCTAACTAGTAAAAGAAATATAGCTATGGTACTACTGAATCCCAAAATTTGAAGTTGTAAATGTGTTCTATTGGCAAGTGTTCTAAAATCTAGTTGAGTGTAAATGAATGTAGGTGGTGAATAAAAAGTTATGAATTTGGTTGCAGAAGAAAATGGAGATTATATTGGTATGAAAATTAAATAAAAAGAGGAGGTTGATGAATCTGACTTACTTGTTTTGCTTGTGACAACTATACAATCTCTTCTTCATGGACCCTCACTACATCTACATCCCACCTTTTTTCCTTTTCATATACTCAATATTTGTATAAAAAAGCAATAATTATCACCAATAATCATAAAATGTTAGAAAACTAACACGGTCGGTGCATGGTGTAGGACTACTTTTATAAAAGTGAGAAAAATGTTGTTTTTGTTTTATTGTTTTCAATGGAAAATGTTGTTTTTATTAGATTGGCATTTTGTGAAATGGTATAATCATATTTTGCAATGAAATGATAAGATGTTGGAAACTAGTAAGTGCACTTACTAGTTGCATTTTGTCTTTTCTGATTTGACTGGTGTATAGCTAGTAAAACGTAACCACAATATATATAAGGCGTATAGTCTCCAGCAAAGTTCGACCTTGGGACCAAAGGTTCAACATCATCACAACAAACCTTTGATAACCAAGAGAGCTACGCATGCACTGCGTGGTATAAATCTTTCGTTCTACTTTCTTAATTTATTGTAACAAATGAACTTGATCCTTGACGATGTAATTAACAGCTCTCTGGAAAAATTAAAGTGGTAAAAGAAACCAATCGGATTCAGATAAACATGGTGATAGAGACTTAAAAATAGTGTTGATGTCTTATATATTGAGAGATATCTACAAGTTAGAATTGTCATATTGAGAGATATCTACAAGTTAGAATTGTCAATCGGACCTAATTGATTTTTGCGGGTTCAAAATTAGAAAAGACTATTTCTATTAAAAAGACTGCATATTTATATAAAAAAATAGAAAAATATTAAAAAAAAATTATTTAGTAATTACACTTAGCATTTTTAAAAATAGATTAAAATCTTGGAATCTATACTAGTATTTTTGTAGTCATTTTGGTGACGGGTGGGTAAAAATGCTCTCGGGTTATTTGGATACCCGACCTGTTTCCAAATTTTGGTCATAAAAAATTTATTGGGTCGGGTTATATTTAACCCAACTCATACACCGGATATTCCATATTTAATAATTTAGATATTTAGAAGATTGATTAAGATTTAGAATTATGATTCTCCTATCATCTTTGTTTGATTTGTTTTTAACTGTTTTGAATCATCATATAATACATAAAGTAAAAAAAAATCAATTTTTTTTTTTGCATATACTGTGATTCGAAATTTTAAAAACGGACATATATTATCCAATTGACGAAAATGTGTGTTCAACGTTCTACATCGATTAAAATATTTAGACAATGATTCAGAATCATATCATAAATAAGATCAACATTAATAAAATAAATGAGTTTTTTGGCCGGACGGGTTTGGCGGGACGGGTTTTTGAATCAACAATAATAAAAAGATTAAAATATCATTAATCCGCCGCTTCAATACGGATTAAATTCTTAATTTTTTTAATACCACCAATATTAGACATATCAAATCAGTCTCATTAAGAAAAGATTGTATAAAATCAAAAATTGTTCTGTGGTATAATGTTACTTAATAACAATTATAAACTATAAAATATAAGTGTCTTTGAAAATGATACAATTTACAAACTTTTATATATAATAAATAATCGTTAAATTTTTTAAAATTACTACTTTTAAAAATAAATTACGGGACGGGTTAAAAAATTACAGGACGGGTTATATGGCGGACGAGTTTGAATCAACATTTATAAAATTTTAAAATATCAATAACATGTCGCTTTAATACAGATTCAATCCTTAGTTTATTAAAATATAAATGTCTTAGAGAATGAAACAATTTATAAACTTTAGATATAATCAAAAATCATTAAATTTTAAAATCACTACTTTTAGAAAACAAATCACGGGATGGGTTAAGAAATTATGGGACGGGTTATATTTCGGAACGGATTTATATGGCGAACGGGTTTGAATTAATATTTATAAATTTTTAAAATATCATTAACATGCCGCTTTAATACGAGTTAAATCCTCGGTTTATTATTGTTCCATGAACTCGTGATATACCGTTACTTGATAATAATTATAAACTATAAAACATAAATATTTTATAAGGAGATACAATTTATAAAAATTTATATATACTAACTTTAAAAAATAAATTAACCCGCGGTATAATCTAATACAAATCGTTGAAAAAAAAAAAAAAAAATCTAATACCAATGTTCATGACTCATTTGGCATGCAATTTCTTTTGTTTCCCGCTTCTGCGTCCAAACAGTCCCATTTGGACCAAAGCCACGAGTCCATGCATAATTGACAGACGTAGGCCAAGACAACCTCTTTAGAAGTAAAGGCATCAAAGACATTGTTTCTTGGTTGATTTGGGCACTCACGATGGTAAGTCAAAATTTGTGTTCTTTTTTTGTCCATCCTACAGAATTCGTAATATTATGATGGTCTTTGGTCAGAACATGTTACTTTTCAACTATCCGACAATCGAATACTTATCGTGGAGAGCGGTTGTGAGTTGGGAGGGGTTGAAGACCATCTCTAACATATTTCATCAATTTCAACTCCAAAATATAGCAATTCCAAAGTACAGTTCAAGTTTCAACCAATCTATTATTCCATTTTTCTTAACTCAAGAAAACAATATATATTCCGAATATATTAATTCTACTATTAAATTTAACAGTACCTTACAATTTGTTAAAATTTACGAATTAGATCCATTTATTTATTTTTAGCAACAACTCAATAAATTATGATGTTATATAATAAACATCTTTTATTATATAATATAATTGCATCATATCACATAAAATCATATTATAAGCCAAGCAAAATGTAACAAAACATAAATAATCAAATGGTTAGATACTTTCTTCATAAATCAAATAATTGGATTAAGATTAAAAGCATATAATACAAATTTACTAGTTTTGTCCAATAACCAAAAACTATAAATCTTTTTAGAAATATATATATATCATATCTTGATAGAGGAGTTTTAAGTTTCTGTATTTGAAATGTAACGGTCATGGACTCGTTTGAGTGATTTCCTATAAGTAATTTAAGGTTATGACAATCACATCCAACGTTTTCGGTTTTATGTGATTAAGTAGTCATTATTATGAAACTGTGTGTATCTACATTCTGATCCCAAAGATAGAAATCAGATTTTAGAGATCATCATACACAAAAGCAATGCCCTACGATCTTGCCGTCTGAATTTCAATAATTTCTACGGTTCATTTTTGAATTAAATTTTGTATAGTTTACCAAAGTATATTACACTTTACAAGTAGTATTTATATATGGGCCTTATGTGTTATTTCGAGCCCACAACGCAAAAGTATACTTTTAGCATTAGAAATAAAACGTCAAATTGGAGAAACGATATGAAGAAGTACACATTCAACCATATAATTATGTATAAAATTGTATCAACAACAAGTTGATCAAATATTGTTGTATCATTAATTGATACTTCGATAGAGATTGACGTTGATCAGTGGTAGCGTACCATCGTTTTCTACCTTAAAAAGATTTCATATTTTTCAATTTAAAACAAGTACCAACCGTCCCCTCATCATAAATGATGGAGTGACAAATACATTTTTGTTACAAAAAATTATGATTTGTAATTTCTGGGCTTTGTTCGTTTGATGGACAATGACTTCAACATCTAATAAGTAGCATCAGCAATCTGCTTAATACTATTACGTACTGGCGATAATAAAGTTTATATCTGATCGAAAATTTTAAAAGGATGAGATTTTTTGTTTTAATATACCATTTTCGCTGGAATGTTTAATCAAGATAAATAGATGGTCATGTATTAGTTGCACTATAATACGTCGTGTTAGTTCTTTTGCTTTCTTCATTTTTAATATAAAGATTATCAACTTTGAAAAACTACGTACCTTGGTCAGAATCCTAATTTTGATTATTTCCTTTTCTATTTGTTAGTTCATATTACAGTAGTTTGAATAGTTTTTAGGCTTGTAGCCAAATTAAAGAGACATGACCTCATTGATTTCGATGGTTTGTAAAAGAAATTTGGGAGAATAAAATTACAAAAAGTTCAAATACATAGAAAATAACTTTCAAACAATTTCCAACGTGCGCCAATTGAAAGGATTGAAAACAATACCTGTTAGAGAAATGAAGCACGTGGAGTATTGTTATTGTTCATTCCGTGACGTAGACAATTAGTTCATTTTTCACATAAGTTACGTATTTTCCACGTGCATGATATCTTTGTATGTGAAAATGAACTACATGGTGTTAACAGTGAACTTGTAATGGGTTGCTAGTGGGCCAATTTTGTCAAATGGTATGCTATTGATTATGATCATGGGACATAAGCGATAGATCCAACTTCTTAGACCAGGTCAGTCTTATTCAAATGTCATCCAACATGATTTCTATATTTGCATCCCTTCCTTGGATTTGGAGAAGATCATTATAAGCGTTGCAATCACCTTCCATGATTATCAATTTATGAGCATATCATGACAAACAAGAGAAACGCCTTCTTCTTCTAAATCGATGCTTGTTTGTTTGAGTTTTGAACTACCAAATAAATTAAGATAATGATGTTTTTCGTTAACCAATTCCGCTCATGTTGTGTAAGTAGCTAGTAGGCATGGGCGTTCGGATGTTCGGGTCGGGTTCGGGTCGGGTTTTTCGGGTTCGGATTTTTCGGATTTAGAAAACTAAGACCCGTTCGGGTATTTTAAAACTTCGGGTTCGGATCGGGTATTTCGGGTTCGGATTCGGGTTTACCCCCCGAAGTATCCAAATATTAAAAAAATTGTATCCGATTCTATGCAAAGTATTGAAAATACTAAAAAAATCTAAAAATTTAAAGTATTTTATACCCAAATCTAACCAAAAGTAGCTAAAACACCCGAAAATATCTTAACATCCGAATAATTTAGACACTTAGGCTATTACAAGTATAAATATTACTAATATATTATAACTATGTATTTATATTTCGGATATGTTCGGGTACTTGTTCGGGTTCAGGTTCGGGTCGGGTTCGGGTTCGGGTTTTCGGGTTGTGAAGTTTAGAACCCGTTCGGATATTTTAAAACATCGGGTTCGGGTTCGGTTCGGGTTTTTCAGGTCGGGTTCGGTTCGGTTCTTCGGGTTCGGGTATTATGCCCAGGCCTAGTAGCTAGGTTAGTTATAGCTGCCATTATATTTACATTTAACCATCCCAAATCTTGCGGTTTTCGATTGGCTCTATTTGTAGTACGCATAGGCCGATCGATGGTCATCAAACGTACCAACCCGTTTTGTTGCACTAGTCCAATTAGTAAAATTTCTTCCCAAAACTTCTTAGCATCATTGTAAGGATGTCGGTTTAAACGATTGAAGATTAAACCAATTAACGATATCTAAAGTCTCTTTATAAACTAAAACATATGACTTCTAATCTCCATCACCGGTAACTCATAGATGTTAACTAGCATTTTCATATTTCTTTCTTGATCATTACTCGGATGTTAATCATCAAGAATGGGTTGGAGTGTATTTAATTCAAATATAGATATACTTATAGAATACAATTATGTTTACTTAAATGGAAACTAAATTTTTTTAACAAGAACTGAAAAAGAAAAAAAAAAAAAAAAAAACGTTGTTCCGTCACACTTTTATCCGTCTGAAAAGAGTTAAGTTAGGCGGAACATGGTACGACGATGATTGCGTGATGCTCACTTACTCACGTAGTTGTCGGGAATCATCAAAGACACGTGTCGAAATGTCATAGGACAGAGACATGGGCGGTACTGAGTTACGGAATAGAAGAAGGAAGGAGAAACAAAGAGCTTTATAGGTGAAAGTGAAGCCTAACGAATATTTAACATAAGAAATGGTCACAAGCAAGAGTTTGGCACATACTACTATTCCTTTTTCTCTCAACCATAAAGCTGAACACTTAAATAATTTCTAATGTTATATTTTCAACCAAGCAACATTTATCATTTAAATATCAAGGACTTAATTGTTATCTTTTTTTTTCTTATAAAATTATACGAAAATATAAATGTAACACTTAACAACGATTAATATGTATACTTAGAATTTTATAAGAAAAGTTATATAACTAAATTTTGATTCGAACAACATTTGATGTTCTTTAGATATTCAAGTGTTTTTTTTTGTTGAGTCTTACATATAGCCCATTGATCATAATTAGAATAATCTTTTAGTTCTTAAAGTATGTTTTATAGCCAAAAACTTTAGATAAAACAAGATATACATAGTTTACTCAAATTTGTTTTAAGCCAGTTTAGGATTTAGTTCAACTATACTAATTAAAAGAAACTAATTTCTCACACATATTAAAGTTTTGCACACATATTACGAAACTAATTAAATTCTTATTTTTCACTAATACAACGTATTATTTTATTTTTTGATTAATACATTAAAATAATAGAGATAATACATTATAACATTTATTCTTAAACAAAATTAAAGTTATAAAACAAAATTTAATATTAAATGAAAGAAATAATAATCATGTTTTTTTCCCACTTTTTCACAATAATCATATGGGTTTGCATATGAAGTTACGGTCTAAATCTAAATTTCATATGAAATGGAAGGAATAATAATCATGTTTTTTCCCCACCTTTTTCACAATAATCATATGGGTTTGCTTATGAAGTTACGGTCTAAATCTAAATTAATGATCATCTCATTAAAATTTGTAAGCCCTAAAAGGTTAGTAAATTAAACAATTCAAACATAAGATTATCCATCATCCTTATACTTACACATCATTAAAATCCACAACCCCATCATTGCCCCATCACTAATCAATAAAAACAATTAATAAACCCAAAAACAGATTATCGAAACATACGTGGGTCCCCACTTCCCCCCAAGTCCTTTTCCATTTTCATAAAGTACAGTAGAACCTCTATAAATTAATACTCGATAAATTAATAAACACGATAAATTAATATATTTTGCCCGTCCCAAGTCGGGCCAATGTAAAAATTAACTAAATTCGATAAGATAATAAGATAATAATTTTTTTGAAATTCTTATATAAAAATATGGTCCCAATGATATCATAAATTAATAATCATGTAAATATATATATATATATATTTTAGTGTTTTTCAAATTTTGAATACGCATCATTATTGTTTTAATAGTCGTATACGATTTTTCAAATACAACTATAGATATCATTATTTATAAATTTTCATTTATGTATATCGTTTATATATGTAAATTTTTATAATCTTTGTTATTCATTGTCAAAAAAAAATTGTTTTCTCTTCGAAATATTAAATGTTTAAGTTTAAAACTATAAAATTTATAACATCCATAGGATTAATTTTAGAGAAATTGTTAAAAATGCCCTTTTTTCAATACCCTTTTTCAAAAATGCCCCCTTTGAGAGTCCATTTTTAAGTTTGCCCTCTTTTAATTTTTAATGACCATTTTACCCTTATTTGAAACAAAATTAGGTCTACAAAATACAAAATATTTTTTGGCGGGAAAAGTGATCCCGCAATTTTCCCGCCAAAACACTTGTAAAAAACCTTTAAAATACCTTGTAAAATTTTCCCGTAAAAATTTTTCCCGCCAAAAAATTTTCCCGCCAAAAAATTTTTTTTGCGGGAAAAGTGATTCCGCAATTTTTTTTTTTGGCGGGAAAATTTTTGGCGGGAAAAATTTACAAGGTATTTTAAAAGTTTTACAGAGTATTTACAAGTGTTTTGTAAGGTTTTACAATGTATTTTAAAAGGTTTTACAAGGTACTTATAAGGTTTTATAAGGTATTTATAACTTGTAAAACCTTATAAAAAACTTGTAAAACCTTATAACTTGTAAAAACCTTATAAAATTGTAGCTTGTAAAATCTTATAATATCTTATAAATACCTTGTAAATACGTTGTAAAACCTTTTAAAATACATTGTAAAACCTTATAAATACCTTGTAAAAAACCTTTAAAATACCTTGTAAATGAATTTTCCCGCCAAAAAAATTGCGGAATCACTTTTCCCGCAAAAAAATTTTTTTGGCGGGAAAATTTTTTGGCGGGAAAAAATTTTACGGGAAAATTTTACAAGGTATTTTAAAGGTTTTTTACAAGTTTTTACAAGTGTTTTGGCAGAAAAAATTGCGGGATCACTTTTCCCGCCAAAATATTTTGTATTTTGTGGACCTAATTTTGTTATATTTCCTTATATATTTGTGATATCTTTTATTAAAAGAAGGGTAATTTAGTCATTTTGTACATAAAAAGGGGTATTTTAAAAAATGGACAGCCAAAGGGGGTATTTTTGAAAAGGGGTATTGAAAAAGGGGCATTTTTGTGAGTCTCCCTTAATTTTATTTAGATCACATTGTTTTCCTCATATTTTTTTAAAAAATTTAAACAATTTAAACAAAGCTAGTGTAAATTAATATTTATTAATTTATAGATAAATTAATATCACTATAAATTAATAAAATATCATGGTCCCAACATTATTAATTTATAGAGGTTTTACTGTATGTTTCTTTCCCATAAATCACACATAGCCTTACGTGTTTCTCCTATCCACCGTTAATTTTGATCTTTGAAAGATCCAACCGTAAATATAAGAGTAGCGTAGGTACACTCGCGTCGTAGAAGATCAAAGTCAACGATGGTCAGAGTAAGACCATTCGCAGTGGTGTAAGTGTGAGGGAGGGGTGTAAGATTTTTTTTATTATTATAATTTAAAGTGAGAGAGAAAAGAGAGAGAAAAAAAGAGAGAGATATAGTGTCTTACACCCGAGTGTAAACTTACACCCGGGTGTGAAGAGAGAGACAACTTTTACATTATTTCTGTATTTTAAAATAGATACACCCCACGCGAAGATACACCACCGCGGATGGTCTAAGGAAACCTCGCCATAAAGTGAAGTTAATAAACACCGTAGCTCCCGAGGTAGAAGAAAGAGAAAAAAAACATTTTTTATTTTATTTATTCAAAAACTTAATATTATTTATTTATTTTTAAATGTTGGGAATATTATTAATTTATTAACAACAACACAGTAACGCAATCACAGACTCCACAGTCAAGGAGTTTTTGCATTACTCACGAAGCCACAATCATTTCTCTCTGGTTTGACTCGGCGGCGACTGAGTTAACTCGGTGGTGGTTATTGTTACTAGTTTCGTCGTATGTGTTGTTTGATTTAGTTGATGGATCCGAGTGGGATGATGAACGAAGGAGGACCGTTTAATCTAGCGGAGATCTGGCAGTTTCCGTTGAACGGAGTTTCAACCGCCGGAGATTCCTCGAGGAGAAGCTTCGTTGGACCGAATCAGTTCGGAGATACCGATCTAACCACCGCTGCTAACGGTGATCCAGCGCGTATGAGTCACGCGTTGTCTCAGGCGGTTATTGAAGGTATCTCCGGCGCGTGGAAACGGAGGGAAGATGACTCTAAGTCGGCGAAGATCGTCTCCATAAATGGCGCGGTACGGATTTTCTCTCTTTTTTTTTCGGTTTGATTCGGTTTTTTTCCGGTTTAGTGGTTCAATTTGAATTCAAATTCTTTAATTTGCTTGGTTAGGCCGCGCATAATACTATTTTTGTGTGTTTGATTAGAGTGAAGGTGAGAACAAAAGACAGAAGATAGATGAAGTGTGTGATGGGAAAGCGGAAGCGGAATCGCTTGGAACAGAGACGGAACAAAAGAAGCTACAAATCGAACCGACGAAAGATTATATTCATGTTAGAGCTAGAAGAGGTCAAGCTACTGATAGTCACAGTTTAGCTGAAAGAGTAATGATTTTACATGGTGATATAAAAAGTTTCTTTTATTTTGTTGAATGAGTAAAAGATAATTTGCTTTGTGTTTTTTGGTAGGCGAGAAGAGAGAAAATAAGCGAACGGATGAAAATCTTGCAAGATCTTGTACCGGGATGTAACAAGGTATTGTAAAACTTTTCAATGGGATGTTTATATGATTTTCAAGAGTGGTAATATGATTGAAACTTGTTTATATTTTGTAGGTTATTGGAAAAGCACTTGTTTTAGATGAGATAATCAACTATATACAATCATTGCAACGTCAAGTTGAGGTGTGAAAACCTCTTTTCTTTCTCTTGTCTATTGTTTTTGTTACTCTAAAATTACATGTGTGTTCTCATGAGATTGTTTGCGGTTTTCAGTTCTTATCGATGAAGCTTGAAGCGGTGAACTCAAGAATGAACCCTGGTATTGAGGTTTTTCCACCAAAAGAGGTGATGATTCTCATGATCCATTAACTAGATCTTCTCCATTTTTGCAAAACAGTTCATGTTTCTGTCGAGATATTCTTGAGTAGGGGTCTTGATGTTTATGCGGTTTGGTCATTTAAGCATTGCAATGAACCAATTGGCCTCTGTTTTTGCTCCTGCTTCACAAAAACAGAACTTAAGAAAACTATATTTTCACAAAACATGACACGTTTCTATCGATATTCTCGAGTAGGAGTCTCCATTGATTCATCTAAGCAATTCAATGAACCACTTGGGCTCTGTTTTTACTCCTACTGCCTTTGGAAAATCTATCATTTTCTGTTGTGGAACTTCAAGAAAAAACTAAAAATCTGTTTTGTTTTCTTGATTTGGTTGGCTAATCTCTGTTATATTTTGGTGAAACTCAGTTTGGTCAGCAAGCGTTTGAGAATCCGGAGATGCAGTTCGGGTCGCAGTCTACGAGGGAATATAGTAGAGGAGCATCACCAGAGTGGTTACATATGCAGATAGGATCAGGTGGTTTCGAAAGAACGTCTTGATAAAGAAACAACACTTGATCATCATCTTACTACAAATAAGAGAAAATCTCGAGAAGAAAAAGCATACATGATACATACATATGAATCTCATTCTCATTATAGGTTTAAATATATGGATGTGAATATACACATCATATTGTTCTAAAGAAAGCAAACAAAAAAATTAGAAAAGAAGATATAGTTAGTTTCGACCTCAAGAAAAAAAAAAGCTTGGAAGGCTTTTTAAAGTAGAAAACCTCTTGTAAAAGAAAGAACGTTCGTTGTTATAAAATTGTATTTCATTCTTACATATTTGCTTAGGTTCTTGCTGAATAGTTGAACAGGATATAAAATAATCGATAATAGCCTAAGACCATCTCCAATGGTGAGAGCTCTCCCATGAGCTCTCACCAATTTTTTAATATAAGTTTTGTCAAATTTTTAAATGAGAGCTTGTGTTTACTTTTAAAAAAATTTCATACTCCAATGGTGATCTCTCTCAAGTAGGTTCTTAAAAAAAAAAATTTCAAACATGTAAAAATATATATGGTTCTAGCTTCGCAAATGATGAAGCTAGATGATTTTCTGACCAAACTGCAATGCAAACTGATCAACTGCAGCCATAGCTTGACAAGCTGAACCAATTGATCCATCATATCTGCAGGAAGAAATCATAACCATCTGCAGATTCCAAGTCCTATTATCAAACCACAAATACTCTCCAAGCAAAAACAGAAAAAAGCAAACAAAGTCTTACATTGATTGGATCCAAGAACAAAGTTCTCAGTAGGAAGATTGCCACGTCTCATGAAATCGATAATTGCTTTAGATCAAGCTGATCATATTAGATAAAATGTTGGTTCTTGATTTCTCAAAGACATGGTTTTGATGCAATCTTTAAAAGGGATTTCAAAGGAGATCTGTTTTTGTTTCTACCTTGGGATGAAGTTATCTTGAAGAAGAACTAATGACTTCAACGTGAAGCTTATCATTTATGGGAGGCTCATCTACTGGGAACTGAAAATCTTCATCCCATCTCGGTTCTGTTTTTCTTCACACGCTACAAAATCAAACCAAAATTTGTAAATTTGATGTTTTGATTTTAAATTTAAGAGAATGTCAATCCCTTCTTGTTCAGCTCTGCAAATAACTCAAAATTAAGTAAGCCTCAAGACCTCTATCTAAATCATATATAGAAGCATACATCAATGTCTCGAGATATTACCACAAGCCTTAAAGAGAGATATTAATCAAAGACGGGAAAAACAAAAAGCAACGAGCCTCAGACTAATTAAAGAATTCATATTAGTGGTGAATCAAACAATGTGGACAGTCTTTTTCAATCATCAATGGCTCTTTATCTAAACCAAGTTCACAAAAATTAATAGTCATATATATAAAGCACACACCTTCACTTTGGTAGCATATATATAAGACTCATGGTTGTTTCTTAACTCAGCCGTTCTTCTTCTTTACCTTATTTTGTTCATGAAACAATAACAAGTCTTAAGATTCAGAGAAGCAGCAATCCATTACCTTAACGGATGAAATGAATGTCATCCATTTAGGAATTGATTCTCGTTCCGAGTAGAGTCCATAAGCTACTGATACATGCACTTCAACCTTCATCTTTACTCTAAAATCTAAAATTCAAAATCCCTAATCGACCAACAACAAATTCCCAAAATTAAATCATGATAATCTGCAGAAAAGTAGTAGATTCTTACCAATTACAAGATTTCTTGATCGAAGACTCTCATTCGATCCTCAATCGATCTCCAAATTGATTTCTCTCTACAACCATCTGTTTTGTCTTAAGAGAGAGATGGGGAAAGAAAAGAAAAGCTGGAGATTTTTCACGCGTTTTTTTTTTGTTTGGCCAAAAATACAAACCAATTACAGAATGACACGTCATCGTCTCTCTTGCCAATCAAAACCTCTCTCAAGAGAGACAGCTCTCTCGGAAATAAATCATTCTGATTTATTTTTTTCTACTTTTAATCAGAGAAACGATCGAGAGACCCCAATTTGCACACCGTTGGAGATGCCCTTAATAGGTAAGGTATCTCTCCAAGCTCCATACGATGAAACATTGAAACACATGCAAGTTCCATCAGCTACTCGCATATTAGAGAGAATCACATACATAACGTAGTTGTGTTCTTTAGGTTCAGCTCATCAAGTTGCGTCATCAAATCACCATTTTGTGTGAGTTAACCGGCATGCTCTGTATCATCTTCAAAGCATTTTCCACTAAGCCTTCATGGCTACATCGCTACAGGTTAGCTTCCCGGTGAAAATGACTGCATCTAGGGCCGGCCCATAGCATAAACAACATAAACCATAGATTAGTCCAAAGTTTTATGGCTCACAGAATTGTAGATTAATATTTATTTTCTTTGGTTTTACCAGTCCACTTATCATTTATCTTTGATGATCTGTCATGGTAGATAGGGCGGGGCAAAATATTCATTTTATTGGCTTTAGTGTTATTTGTTTCAGAAAATCCGAATATCCATAGTTTACATAGAAAATTGAATACTAAAAAATTTGATAAATGCATATTTATAATTAGAAAATTGTACAGTACTTTTCCGATTTGTAGTTTTATCATATAATTTTTTACACGTGTCAAATCTATCGATAAGATTTTAACACGTGTCACAATCTACTAACTTAATTTGAAAGCCAAGTTTTATGCCTTTATATAATAAGATATTATGTTAAATTTTCTATTTTATAAGTCATCATAAGTAATTCCCTAATTTGTACTCTATATATATATTTCTTACCTAGCTTCCTTCCTTTACAAAGAAAACCTAATGGTTCCAAACAAAAAAAAGAAAACCCTAATAGTGGCGAGAAAGCTTCCATCAGAGCTAGAAGAGGAGATACTCTTTCGAGTTCCACCTCGATCTCTCGTTCGCTTCAGATCCGTTTGCAAAGAATGGAACACTCTTTTCAACAATAAGAGATTCATCAACAAAAACTTTGCTTGCAATCGCCCAGAATTCATATTAAAGACACATTCCCATATATATTCGATAAGCGTCAATCTCAATGACGATCCAACTATAAAAGTGCACGATTTATGCTTTGATTTACGTTATTCTCTCTATGGGATCTGCGATGGTAACTTATTCTTCATGTATGACTGTTACAAAAGAGGCATGGTTTGGAACCCGTTGTTGAGAAAGACTAAATTAATTGCCAAAGATGAGAGAATATGTGGCAGGAGCATGGGTTACGATGGTAGTAGACCCGAAAAGAGTTACAAGATTATTGGACGTTGCAGTACTAATTTGATCCATAGAGTTGCAGTCTTGGAATTTGCAACCAATGCCTGGAAGGTTACTCATCGTACCAGTTGTGGCGAAGAGTTACAATCACACGACTCTAATTCTAGGGTCTCCCTGAATGGAAATTTGTACTTGACAGGTTACAAATACCCCGACACTGGTCAGTGTTTCATCGAAATGCTCGATTTTTCGAAAGAGATAAGAAAGATCTTTTGTATGCTACCGTGTAAGGCGAAAAAAGGTACTTCCCATACTCGTATGCTTTCGATTTACAAGGGAGATCGGTTTTCAGTGTTACAACAATGCAAAAGAACAGGCGAGATTAAGATTTGGGTGACAGAGAAGAAAATTGGTAATGGGGAAGATGGAGACAATGTGGTGTGGATTAATTTCATGACTGTCTCAAGACCTGACTTCCCCAAATTACTTACTCCCATGTCTACAAGTTACTTTGTCGATAATAATATTTATGGAAAGAGCTTTGTTCTGTGTTGTCCTAGCAAGAGACCTAAAGCAGCTTGGGTCTATATTGTGAGGGGAGATATGTGCAAAAAGATTAAGATAGGTGGAGTGCTATGCAAGTTTCAATCCTCTGTTTATGTTCCCAGTTTGATCAATATTTCTTGAGAGAATTTTTCTGAAGCTAGTGAACAATAAGAATTTTTACAAGTTTGATTACCATTGTTACGTTCTTGTTTTATTTCTTTATTTATTTAATAAAACTTTTACAAGTTTGATTTCCACAATTTGTTTGGCCTACTTTGGTTGATTAATAGAGGTTTTGTTTAAAATCTAGTTCGTGAGAATGGGAAGATATACAAAGTCGTTTCTTTGTTAGTGATTCTTGTTTATGTATAGCTTATAGAAAAGAAGGTTATCTACTAAAAACCCCCAAAGCTGAGATCCAGAGAGCCACCATAAGACATATTTATTAATGGCTTTAATTAGAGCTTCCGATGCTGATTCCGATCATACCTAACAAAGTCAGACCAAACCATGAAAAAACTTACTGTTGTCGTGTTGTGCATCTCAAATTAGGGAAGCAGCGACAAGTAAGGTCTAATGCTTCATGTGGCAAACGTTTTTGGAATACCTGATTAGCACAAACACATGATTCTTGTGTTTATAAGAACATGACCAGAGAGACGCAAAACCAAGGAAACGAGAAAAATGACATAGAGTGAGCCACAGAGTTTTTAGAATACTCAAACCAGCACAAAAGCCAAGATCATGAAGCCCATGTTTTTTCAACCCCATTAGTATGTGACATAGGTAATCTGTATTTTGGCAGTGTTACAAGTTTCGGTTTATTTTGAGATTTCAACGACCACAAGTAGAAAACTAGATGCTCATTTTGGGACTGAATTATTGAGATTAGAGATATCAAAAACCAAAACATAATCCTGAGAGGAAATAATAAAAGAAAGTTGCAGCCATCACTCTCGTAAGAGCAGCATTGGGTCCTTAATGCTTTTAAAATCTTCCTTTAATGCAGAGAAATTACTTTTAGGAAACAAGAGGGGCTTTAGTGGAGATGAAGTTGGTTGAAACGTATATTCACGTCCTAGACTCAGATGGATTAGCTGAGTTGCTTGAGTTCTGGTGATGCCCTTGTTGGATGAAGCTTGGCACTTGTCTTGTGGCCATGTTCAGCTGCTGAGCTTCGGTTGTCCTTTCCAAAGTTAGTCTGTACTTCTGCAACCAAAATCAGAGAGAAATAAACAAACAAACAAGTCGTCGAACCATATCATCATCAAAAGTGGAAACAAGTCAAAATGCATGAGAGAATGGGAAATGAGTACCTGCAAATGGGTGGCTACGTTTAGCCTAGTCAGACCTTCTACATTCATGTCGGCAAGTATTTTCTTGGGAATAGCCTCTGTGATGAAGACTCAGAGAAAACAAACATTAGGATACATGAAAAGAGGACTCCACACATGAAATACATCTTTAGGAGAAACAAGAGACAACTCAGACAAGAGTGGAACATCACACATAAGGAAAGGTGAAAAGGCGTTTATGGGGAAACTCACTGTCGTTGCCGCCCAATTGCTCAATGGAATTGAGAAACTTCTGGTGGAGCTCATGTGACCAAACGAAACGGCCGTGATTCTTTCGAGTACGTGACTCTTGGACAATTTCTGGGTCCTCTATGCTTTTAAAATCTCCCATGTATGCAGAGAAATTGCTTTAGGAAGCAAGAGGGGCTCTAGTGGATTTAAAGTTGGTTGAGACAGATGTAAGAAATATTTCATAATGTAAGAAATATTTCATTTCTCTATTATGTGGTCGTATAGTCGTCGTCGGTTTTCTATCAGAATTGTTATTCCGTAATGTATAATTGGTAACCTAAACGAGTTTTCCGCTCATGGACAAGTGGCGAATATGCAAGAGCATACGCATTAAAGGCGAACGACAAATGTCACAGAATAGCGACATGCGTCGCATAACGGCGACAAGTGTCGCGGAACGGTGGCAAGTGTCGCGTAAAGGCGACAAATGTCAAGGAGTCGCGACAAGTGTCGCATACTGACGACAAGTGTCGTGGAATGGCGACAAATGTCGCATTAAGATTTGCATGCGTGACAAGTGTCACGATTTCGATGTGCATGCGTGACAAGTGTCACGATTACGATGCGCATGCGTGACAAGTGTCACGATTACGATGCGCATGCGTGACAAGTGTCACGGTTAAGATGCGCATGCGTGACAAGTGTCACGATTACGACATGTGTCGAACTCCTACGCTTCCACTTGTCACACATGCCTCCGGCTCTACTTTGATGGACGGTCGAGATCAATCCGGAGAAAACCCTAAAAGCGGATCTTGGTCCTCTCTCCACCTATAAATACAAACCTTTAGTCCATCATAAAGGTAGTTCCAAAAAATCTGCAACACTTAGAGAAAAAGTTTGTAGGCCAGGGGAGAGAAACCGAGATTCCGACCTTAAGTTTAAAGCTTCCGTCTTCCATTCAGGAAACCGTTCAGGAAGACTTTTCCGCTGCAATGAAAGGAGGTATTCTGCTAACCCTCTTTATATATCTATTAAGTGATTAATTCAGATGTTTAAAGATCTTGGGGTTTATGTAAGTTTTCACTTACATGTGGTAGCAGAGCCAGATCTAAACATCTGTTTAATCCATAAAGTTGAATAGATCTATAGTTTTTGAATATCATAAAGTAAGAGATCTGGAAGTAAAGAGTTTTTTCCAGATCTGAATTATTGTTATTTTATAGATTATTTTGCAATTAGTATTATATGCAAATTTTAGGGTTTCTTCGAATTATAGTTTATCGAAGATCCCATTTTATGCATAATTGTTTTGTTCATTATTAGAACAAAATAATTATTTTATTTAAAATGCATATTAAGGGTTTAGATATCACCACAGTGACTTTACCCTATTATGAATTTGCATATTCGATCTATTTATGTTATAATTAGTTACCCACAGGTAGACTATAAACATGAAATATGATTGAAAATTAATGGAGTGTATGTATCTGTGAAGACTAAGGATATCCACAGATAACTTAGTCTAAGTAATTCAGTACATCACTTATTAGCGTATTTAGAATATTATGACTTTAATGAAATTATGGTGACTACGTACCCACAGGAGCGCCATAATTTCTTATTGTATTATTCAATTAATGTAATGTGTTGCTTATGTTTTGAAACTTCTTTAAATCTTGTTGTATCTCTAAATTGCAGCATTAATTCATGATGGCTTGTCATCCATGGTCTCAAATGTTCCGATCCTCAGTGGTACCAACTTCTCAGAATGGAAAGAGAAAGTTGAGTTCACATTAGGAGTACTGGACTTGGATTTGGCACTCCGTGAAGAGGAACCAAATCCAATAACAGAGGACAGTACTGAGGAAGAATGTATTTTCCATAAAGATTGGGAAAAGTCGAACAGATTGAGCATTATGTTTTTAAGGATGACAATTGCTAATAACATCAAATCTTCCCTCCCGGTTGCTGAGAAAGCTAAAGCTTATCTCGCGGCCATTGAAGAGAGGTTTAAGACTGCAGACAAATCCCTTGCTGGGAAACTTATGGCAGATCTTACAACCATGAAGTATGATGGCACAAGGTCTATGCATGAACATTGCATTGAAATGACCAACCTTGCGGCTTAGCTAAGGAATTTGGGAATGAGTGTGGATGATTCATTTCTCGTCCAGTTTATCCTAAATTCCTTACCTCCTCAGTATGGACCATTTCAGATCAATTATAATGCTATGGACGAAAGGTGGTCCAGTAATGAATTGAATATTAAGTTGGTCCAAGAGGAGACTAGGCTTGGTCGTGAAGGTATTAAAGTTGCCCATTATGTCCAAGAAGCTGGAATTAAAGCTGGGAAAAGGCATCAAGTAGGTCATAAAAGAGCACCACCCAGAAGTAATGATTTCACCAAAGCTAATGAGAAGAAAAAGGCAAAGAAAGATGACCGATGCAATTTTTGCAAAAAGGCTGGTCACTTTCAGAAAGATTGTCATAAAAGAAAAGAATGGTTCGAAAAGAAAGGTAACCTTATGGGTTCAGTAAGCTTTTTCGAATCAAATCTTACTAATGTTTCTTCTAAAACTTGGTGGATTGATAGCGGTGCTAATGTACATGTAACCAATTCCTTGCAGGGATTCCTTACGATCCAGAATATAAATCCAAGTGAAAACTACTTATTTATGGGAAACCGAGACAGAGTGCCAGTTGAAGCTATTGGCACTTATCGTCTCATTATGGATAGTGGATTTTGTTTAGATTTATTTCAAACATTGTATGTTCCATCTATTTCCCGTAATTTAGTTTCATTAAGTAAACTTGATTTAGCTGGTTTTAAATCGACTCAAGGAGATGGTTGTTTCAATTTATTTATGAACTCTAATCGTATTGGTTCTGGAATATTAGTTGATGGTCTTTATATGTTAATTTTGGCTGATCAACATTTTGAAACACATCTCACCCTGCAAGATAAAAGTGGAGTTAAGCTTAAAACATGTAGAAAAGATTCGTATTACTTGTGGCATAAAAGGCTTGGACACATTTCAAGTGAAAGAATTAAGAGATTGGTAAAAGATGGAGTCATTCCGAATGTTGATTTTACCAATATTAAAGAGTGTATAGATTGCATTAAGGGTAAGCAAACTAAACACACTAAGAAAGGAGCCACAAGAAGTACACAGCTTCTTGAGATCATACATACAGATATTTGTGGACCTTTTGACGTTCCATCTTTTGGAGGTGAAAAGTATTTCATTACCTTTATCGATGATTATTCACGTTATTGTTATCTCTATCTATTGCATGAAAAGTCTTAGTCTGTGGATGCCGTAAAGACATTCATTACTGAAGTTGAAAGGCAATTAGATAGAAAGGTGAAAATCATAAGGTCAGATAGAGGTGGTGAATTTTATGGCAGATATGACGAAACGGGACAACATCCTGGACCATTTGCCATACTCCTCCAGAAATTAGGAATCGTTGCGCAGTACACAGCGCCTGGTTCTCCATGGCAGAATGGTGTAGCTGAAAGGCGTAATCGTACATATATGGGAATGGTTAGATCCATGATGAGTCATGCTAACCTACCTATATCCTTGTGGATGGACGCATTACGTACCGCGGTCTATATCTTGAACAGGGTTCCAAGCAAAGCAGTTCCAAAGACCCCTTTTGAACTGTGGAAAGGCTGGAAACCAAGTCTGTTACATCTCCAAGTTTGGGGATGTCCAGCTGAAGCAAGAATATATAATCCACATGAAAAGAAATTAGATTTCAGAACGGTCAGTGGTTTCTTTATTGGTTACCCTGAGAAATCTAAAGGATATAGGTTTTATTGTCCATCCCATAGTGCGCGAATAGTAGAAACCAGTAATGCCAGATTTTTTGAAAGTGGCGAGATTAGTGGGAGTGATAAAGTTCGTGATGTAACCATTCAGGAAATTCGGGTAGAAATTCCCTTACCCTTATTTCCGAATGCTGGGGATCCTCTCATTGTTGAACCGTTGAACAATGAGGAAAACCCATTAAATGATCACGTAGTCCATGATGAAAATCTTGCCAATAATGATCATGAAGCTCAAGAGGAACCAACATTAAGAAGATCAACTCGTACGAGGAGATCTGCTATTTCCGATGACTTTGAGCTTTATCAAGTAGAATCTGGAGAAGTGAATATTAAAGATCCGGTTTCCTATTCACATGCCATGAAAAATGTTAATTCTGATAAATGGATCGATGCCAGTAAAGAAGAAATAGACTCAATGGTTAAGAATGAAGTCTGGGACATTGTTCCTTTGCCTGAAGGACACAAAGCAGTCAGGTGTAAGTGGATCTTTAAGACCAAACTCGACTGTGATGGCAATGTAGAACGATATAAAGCCAGACTTGTAGCCAAGGGATTTAATCAGAAAGAAGGCATCGATTATAGTGAGACTTTTTCACCTGTGTCTAGAAAAGACTCATTCAGAATTATCATGGCATTAGTAGCTCATTATGATCTCGAGTTACATCAAATGGATGTAAAAACTGCCTTTCTTAATGGAGACTTGAAAGAAGAAGTCTATATGCGTCAACCTGAAGGCTTCATAATCGAAGGTCAGAAAGATATGGTCTGCAAATTAAAGAAATCAATATATGGACTGAAACAAGCTTCGAGGCAATGGTATCTAAAGTTTGATGAAATCATTACGAAATTCGGTTTCAAAGAAAACATAGTAGATCCATGTATATACCTCAAGATCAGTGGGAGTAAGTTCATATTTTTGGTTCTGTATGTTGATGACATATTATTGGCCAGTAGTAATCTTGGTCTATTACATGAGACCAAGAGTTATCTCTCAAAGAACTTTGAAATGAAAGATATGGGAGAGGCATCCTATGTGATAGGAATTGAAATATTCCGTGATAGATCACTTGGAATTTTAGGATTGTCTCAGAAAGCATATATTGATAAAGTTCTTGAGAGATATGGCATGATGACTTGTTCTTCTAGCATTGTTCCTATGCATAAAGGTGACACGCTTAACCTTAAGCAATGTCCGCAGAATGAAATGGAACGTAACGAAATGCAGAAGTATCCTTACGCATCTCTTGTGGGAAGTTTGATGTATGCGCAGGTCTGTACTAGACCTGATATAAGCCATGCAGTGGGCATGCTCGGGAGGTTTCAGAGTAACCCAGGAATCGCGCATTGGCAAGCTGCAAAGAAAGTTTTGAGATACCTAAAGGGAACAAGAAATTTCATGCTGACATATAGAAAATCAACACATCCACAGATGGTTGGATTTTCAGACTCAGATTTTGGTGGATGTCGTGACTCTAGGCATTGTACTCTTGGCTATGCGTATCTCCTTGGTGGAGGTGCCATATCATGGAAAAACCAAAAGTCAGAGTTAATTTTCACGTCCACCATGGAGGCTGAGTATGTCGCATGTTATGAAGCTTCTATTCAAGGAACCTGGTTGCGGAATTTCGTGTCTGAGTTTGGGGCTTTGAACTTTATTGACAAGCCTCTAACTCTTTATTGTGACAATCAAGCCGCAATCTTCTTCTCAAAGCATGATAGGATATCCAAAGGCTCCAAACATATGGACCTTAAATATCTATCACTTAAGCAAGATGTTAAAAGAGAAAAGTTTGTCATTAAGCATATAGGCACTGAACTTATGGTCGCAGACATATTTACGAAAGCATTACCGCCTAAGACCTTTATGAAACATACGGAAAGTATGGGTCTTGAGGATAGCGTTAGTTAAATTGTTTGATTATGTATTGCCTATATTTGACAATTATTTGAGCTCATTATGACTTTTACATCTTTTATATATATTCTGTTTTCCAATGTGTACACATTATTGTTTTGGAAATTATGATAACAGAATGAGTCAGTACTTAAAGACATAAAAGGGACCATTACGATAACTTTATGGTCTAGCTATGAAAGTAGCCAATGCAGTGGTACATGGAAGGAATCATGTTGCAAAATGATATGTGCCCGCCATGACTCTCATTGTTTACCGGAATGGCTAAGACACTTATGATGACCAAATAAAAGAAAAGGAATAACATATTACGCCGGCCTTATGTTTTCTGACTAGAAAAAACTATAATGGACTGTACTAACGACCAAGTGGGAGAATGTAAGAAATATTTCATAATGTAAGAAATATTTCATTTCTCTATTATGTGGTCGTATAGTCGTCGTCGGTGTTCTATCAGAATTGTTATTCCGTAATGTATAATTGGTAACCTAAACGAGTTTTCCGCTCATGGACAAGTGGCGAATATGCAAGAGCATACACATTAAAGGCGAACGACAAATGTCACAGAATGGCGACATGCGTCGCATAACGGCGACAAGTGTCGCGGAACGGTGGCAAGTGTCGCGTAAAGGCGACAAATGTCAAGGAGTCGCGACAAGTGTCGCATACTGACGACAAGTGTCGTGGAATGGCGACAAATGTCGCATTAAGATTTGCATGCGTGACAAGTGTCACGATTTCGATGTGCATGCGTGACAAGTGTCACGATTACGATGCGCATGCGTGACAAGTGTCACGATTACGATGCGCATGCGTGACAAGTGTCACGGTTAAGATGCGCATGCGTGACAAGTGTCACGATTACGACATGTGTCGAACTCCTACGCTTCCACTTGTCACACATGCCTCCGGCTCTACTTTGATGGACGGTCGAGATCAATCCGGAGAAAACCCTAAAAGCGGATCTTGGTCCTCTCTCCACCTATAAATACAAACCTTTAGTCCATCATAAAGGTAGTTTCAAAAAATCTGCAACACTTAGAGAAAACGTTTGTAGGCCAGGGGAGAGAAACCGAGATTCCGACCTTAAGTTTAAAGCTTCCGTCTTCCATTCAGGAAACCGTTCAGGAAGACTTTTCCGCTGCAATGAAAGGAGGTATTCTGCTAACCCTCTTTATATATCTATTAAGTGATTAATTCAGATGTTTAAAGATCTTGGGGTTTATGTAAGTTTTCACTTACAACAGATTCACGTTCTCGACTCTTGGTAACGGAGTACGGTGATAGATTAGCAGAGAATGTTCAGCTGCTCAGCTTCGGTTGTTAGGGTTTTAATTTGATTGAGATCACAGTCACCCTAACTCATCTAAAACAAATCTCAAATAACCTTTTTTAGATTATGATAATTTCGTTTATATGGAATCTTTATGCCATTAAATCCGGCCCTTAATTCTCCACATAATCAATTAATCATCAGATATTCTTTTCCTATTTTTTGCACCTCTTTCCAACTTCCAAGCATTAATATCTTTTGGATTTTGGGATTTCAAAAGTCCTGAAATTGGGAAATTTCGTATATATATATATATATATATTTTTTTTTTCTTCCATTCCTCCCTTTACAAAGAAAACCCTAAATTTTACCCTAAATATATATATATTTCTTCCCTAACTTCATTCCTTTACAAAGAAAACCCTAATGGTGGCCAGAAAGCTTCCATTAGATCTGGAAGAAGAGATACTCATTCGTGTTCCACCTCTATCTCTCGTTTGCTTCAGATCCGTTTGCAAAGAATGGAACACTCTTTTCAACAATAAGAGATTCGCCGACAAAAACTTTGGATGTGGTCGCCCAGAATTCATGTTAAAGACACATTCCAATATTTATTCGATAAGCGTCAATCTCAATGGCAATCCAACTATTAAAATACGTGATTTATGCTCTGATTTACGCGGTAGCCGTTATCATTACTATGGGAATTGCGATGGTTACTTCTTCATGTATGACTACGACGAAGGAGGCGTGGTTTGGAACCCGTTTTTGAGACAGACTAAAAGGATTGCCGCGGCTGAGTCTTCATGTGGCAAAGAGATGGGTTATGATGGTAGTAGACCCGAAAAGAGTTACAAGATTATTGGAAGTTGGAGTAGTAATTCGATCCATAGAGTTGGAGTCTTGGAATTTGCAACCAATACATGGAATGTTACTCATCGTACCAGTTTTGGCGAAGTGTTAACATCACACGACAACTCGTCTAGGGTCTCCCTGAATGGAAATGTGTACTGGACAGGTTATAAATATCCCGAAACTGGTCAGTATTTCATCGAAATGCTCGATTTTTCGAAAGAGGTAATAAAGATCTTTTGTGTTTTACCGTGTAAGGGGAAAAAATGTGCTTCCCATCATCGTATGCTCTCGATTTACAAGGGAGATCGGTTTTCAGTGTTACAACAATGCACAAGAACAAGCGAGATTAAGATTTGGGTAACAGGGAAGAAAATCGGTAACGGGGATGATGGAGACAATGTGGTGTGGATTAAGTTCATGACGGTCTCAAGACCTGACCTCCCTATGTTATTTAGTCACACAAGTTACTTCGTGGATGATAATATCTATGGAAAGAGCTTCGTTCTGTGTTGCAATACCAAGAAGCCTAGACAAGCTTGGGTGTATATTGTGAGGGGAGATATGTGCAAAAAGATTAAGATAGATGGATTGCTATGTAAGTTTCAATCCTCTGTTTATGTTCCCAGTTTGATCTCCATTTCTTGAGAGACTTTTACAAGTTTGATTTCCATTGTTGCCTTTTTGTTTATTTATTTGCACTTGTAGGTCTAAATTCATTATTATGCAGACCAAACTGAACCAAACTTCATGTGGTTTGTTTTGTTATGAATCACTTTTATTTTCTTTTCTTGGAGTCGTTCTCATTGGTGGAGGAAGTTGCTGACCATTTGGCAGACGAGTGTTTGGGTCTCTTCCGATGCTGATTCCAAACAAACTATGAAAGTATATCCTCATACGTAACAAATATCAGCTGATAATGGATACTACTAGGTGCATTCCTTGAGCCAAGGGTGAGATTTTATTTGTTAAATTCCATGTAGTTTGGATTCATGCGCTTGATCTCTTCCCTTGTTGCCTTGGTGTACCCAAAACGTTATTGATTTCAACAAGCTGACCGACTCAACTTTTCCGAGGAAGCAGAAGGTGCATAACAAGTCTACGAGGGTGAAAAATAGTATACCGAGAGCAAAATATCGTATAGGTAATGCAAAAATAGTGTTCCAACCTGTCCAAGAAGCAGTTCAGCCATCACACAACCCGTGGACCATATGTATACTGCAGTTGTGAGCTTGGGGCACGATAGTATCTTGAACAAATGTAAGAAATATTGGCTTCTTTCACTTGACACGACATAATTTAGGCATAGACTAGAAAAAAACTAAATCACTAAAAGCTATAGCAGACAGACTTTACCTACACTTTTGCACTCCCAAAATACAAAATTTTAGCTGATGTATGTGTGTGTGGATTCACGTGCAGATCACAATAGGTTAAAATCCATATACAAGTTCATTATAATTATAACAACTAGGCCACATTTAATCACATGTAGCTAAGGTGAGCTTAGAATTCTGAAACATTATTAAAACAAGTTTGCTTTACGAAATTACAAGAAAAGAGGATGCCAAATATTTGAACCAAAAGCCAAAGAAGTATCTATTCCCCAAAAGTTAGCTTTAGCATTCCATAGAAATTAATAAGTGAACAGAATCCCGGTAACACTGAGTATTGAAAACAAACATTAGTGCATAGCTTCGCTTGATTAAACCCTCCAGGCATGTTATAAGAATATCTATCATGTAAGTATTCTTGTAGCGCTTGTCTTGTAGAACCTTTTGATGGCAACAACCTCTCCAGTTTCTCTGCATTTAGCCTACCACAAGGAAACATAAAATGTTTGGGAATCCTAACCAATAGTAAAACAACAAGAAAGATATTCCAACTTACATGGAAAACCATTCCGAAGGATCCGGTGACCACGTGTTCTGCTATATAACTGACTCTAGATTTTTGATTTACGGGCTCCAAAAGCTATGAAACTCCAAATTATACGGGCAATATTGAAGGTGATGAGAGTTTATAATGGAGAATTGTATATTTACTCTCATAAGGATTATCATAGTGGTTACATATGTTTATATAGAGAAATGAATCGTAACCTAATTAACCTAGTTTCCATAAGTACAAACTATAGTAATTATTAACAAATATACTAGAGAATATCCTATATATTCTAGATCCTTCTATAGGCAATAGTCTCAGCCACAAGTTTCCATTTTTAACCATGAACAGTGGAGTGAATAATTTATCTATGAGGGGTCATTGCAAGAAATAGTAAATAAAAAGTTCAAAGCAGCTACCAAAGTTATAAACTTAAAACGTTACATACAAAGCAGATAAAGTGTGTAACAGTCAAGCCTAGTCGCTTGGTAACACACAAATAAAAGACAACACAAAGAGAATCATACTAATGCAAGACAGACATGTCTCAGCTCTGAATCGGCAAAGTAATAGATATATACGAATTTGTCATACCTATTTAATTTATTAATATATTCTTATATACATTTTATTGTCTATTTCCTATTTAATTATTAATATATCTTTTATAAATTTTTTCAAAAAAATAAAATTGTAATTCTTTACAATAATAAGATAATATGTTAATTTTATACATTAACGTGTCATCAAATTTTATTTTTACTCTATATATATTTCTTCCTTAGTCTACTTCCTTTACAAAGAAAACCCTAATGGTGCCAAGAAAGCTTCCATCAGATCTGGAAGAAGAGATACTCATCCGTGTTCCACCTCTATCTCTTGTTCATTTCAGATCCGTTTGCAAAGAATGGAACACTCTTTTCAACAATAAGAGATTCGCCGACAAAAACTTTGCTTGTGGTCGCCCAGAATTCATGTTAAAGACACATTCCCATGTTTATTCGATAAGCGTCAATCTCAATGACAATCCAACTATAAAAGTGCGTGATTTACGCTTTGATTTACTCGGTGACCGTTATCGTCACTATGGGACTTGCGATGGTTACTTACTCTTCATGTATGACTATAACAAAAGAGGAGTGGTTTTGAACCCGTTGTTGAGAAAGACTAAATGGTTTGCCGAGGCAAGTTCAGGTGGCAAGGGCATGGGTTACGATGGTAGTAAACCCGAAAAGAGTTACAAGATTATTGGGATTATGAAAACTTATTCGCTGGGTGAAAAGATTACGACATCTGCAGTCTTCGAATTTGCAACCAATGCGTGGAAGGTTACTCATCGTACAGGTTTTCACAAAGAGATAACATCAACCCACTCGTCTCCGGTCTCCTTGAATGGAAATTTGTACTGGACAGGTTATAATTATACCGCCGAAACTGGTCAGTATGTCATTGAAAGGCTCGACTTTTCAAAAGAGATAATAAAGACCTTTTGTATTCTACCGTGTAAGTGGAAAGAAAGTTCTTCCCATACTCAAGTCCTCGCGATTTACAAGGGAGATCGGTTCTCAGTGTTAGAACAATGCATAAGAACAAGAGAGATTGAGATTTGGGTGACAAAGAATAAAATTGGTAATGGAGATGATGGAGACGATATGGTGTGGATTAACTTCATGACTTTCTCAATACCTGACTTCCCCTTAGTACTTAGTTACAAAAGTTACTTGGTCGATAATAATATCTATGGAAAGAGCTTCGTTTTGTGTTGTCTTACCAAGAAACCTAAACAAGGTTGGATCTATATTGTGAGGGGAGATATGTGCAAACAGATTAAGATAGATGAAGTGCTATGTAAGTTTCAATCCTCTGTCTATGTTCCCAGTTTGATCAATATTTCCTGAGGACAAGAAGAACCTTTTTACAAGTTTGATTTCCATTGTTACTTTCTTGTTATATAGACATGCATCTTAACTATCTGAAAGTTTCCTCACATCATCTCTCCTACGAAATTTTTTATCCATCAAAATGGTGTCCAACAGTCTTCAGGGGTTCAACATCTAGGATATGAAAGTAAACAAGCACCCTTGTTGTGAAAAACAAGTAATACCTTCCAACCTGTAAAGTAGTTCTTGTTTTGTGTCTCTAAGAAGAAAGAACGTGATCATTTCTGACCAATCAGGTATGTTCTAGACACTAGTGAAATTTCAAGAAAAGGAAGAGTTCACCTGTTTTTGAGTGGAAACAGAGGCTTTATGATATTTTTGGCTGTTTTGTCACTTGTCACATACTGTTTATCGTCAAGGAGTCACATATTAACAATCGCAATAGTCAAAGAAAGAATAATTAATTCTGTTTTGATACAAATACATAATCAACCTTGTTTTGCAGCAATGAAGTCGAGCCATCCTCATATTCTTTCTCTTTATCAAATTGTTTCTTAGATGATTGGATTGCGTAAAGAATATATTACCTCTTTGTCTATAATTGAAGAGTCTTATACAATCACAACAAGAGGAATGTGTTGGACTTTGTAGTAATCTTCTCCTCCTTTTGACAATTTCTTCTTGAAGTCCCAATTACCTAAGGTGATATTCAGTTTCTTTAAGGAAATGATAAATCTTAGCCCATCAGGAAGCTCTTTCAACTTCTGACAGTTACGAATAGTTAGAGAATGAAGAAGGGGCATGGAGCCTTCTTCTATTATCCACTCTTCCCATTCCTCTAGTCCAAATAAGTATAGCTTCTCCAACTGAGGAAACCCACCGTCCGAGCAAACCATTCTCCTCCCATAGAAAGATTTATTCAATAATTTTACCTCATTTAAGTGAAGCAGCTTCTCTAGAATTGCCATCGGATCCTCCTCCAGACAACACTCAGTTAGAGATATGTTTCTAAGGTGAGAAGGGAAATGTTGCTCATCAGGTAACCTTGGCATATATATTCTCAACTTCAATTGTTTGAGATGAACGGAATCCAACACTAATCCTTCATCATTCCTAGGAGCATACGTTGTGTAGTCATATATAGAAAGATTTTCCAAGTGTCTCAATTCACTTAGAGATGAAGATAGCATTTCCACAATACACCCGCCTTTGATAAAGATAGAGAGTACTCTGAGCCTTGGCATACCCTGTAGATCCCTCATTGTCCCATGCTTTGTTGAGAAATTCATCAATGTCTCCAGGTTGGCTAGATTGCCCAATTCCATCTTTACCTTATCATGTATTCTCCAGGGAAGAGAGAGGTATGTCAACTCTCGCATCTCTTTCAAGAAATTTGGCATGTAGACTGAACATCTCTCTTGTACACATATGTTTAAGTAGAGCAGCAACTTCAGATTCCGCATAGCAGAAGGTAGATGAGAAACTTGCGCCTGATACAAACTCAAATATCTCAAGTGGATGAGCTTTCCGATGCTAGATGGTAACTTCCCTCCTTCAAACTGGGCTCTAGAGAGATCTAAAACTCTCATCAATTGTAGCCTTGTAAAGCATAATCTTGATTCCACCCAATTGAGCTTCTTCATAAACAAGAGAGATCTAAGTTTTGGATTCTTCATCTCCCCCACCGGGTGATATGTTTCATCAGGCCAATCTATGGCGAGTCTGCGGGATTTACAAGGAGACTTAGAATTTGTAGTTGATATGTCATGAACAATTTTTAGGAAGTTCTCTTCTTCAGCTTTAAGTAGACAAACTTCTCTCATCATGTCATGTAAGTGACATGTTTCAAATCTTGAAGTACCAACATCTCTTTCAGATATAACCATGTTTCTCTTCACCAATTCTTTTACGTATTCATCTGCGACGTCTCGAATTGTTGCTCCATCATAATACCTCGGTCTTTGTATTCCTTCTCCAGCCCAATAGTAGGACAAATTCCCCACATCTATCACATAATCTTCTGGAAAATGGGCAAGGTAGAGGAAGCAGTGCTTTAGATATATAGGCAGCTCTTCAAAACTCAGATATAAAACATGATAAACCGAACTCATATTTCTGTCATTGAAC